AACAGTAAGACAATGAGATCCCCGCATTGTCTTTTGCAACAGAACCACTGAGAAGCAGCAGTGGGCAAATTTAAAAATAGGTCATTCAGCTTCTCCCCATCAGCTCACTGCAGGGTATATTGTCAGTTTAATTTTCTCATTTACTTCCTTCTGCTTCCCATAACACTGCTTTTGAATCACAACAGTGTTTGGGAATAGGATATGCCAGCTGGCTTTGCAATATTTTGTGTATACACAAAAATCCTGCCTTCAAATGAGATTAACCTTTGAACAAAATTAATATGCACACAGCATAGTGAGAAGCAGGCACCAGCACACAGCACCTAGGAAATGGAGAAATATGAGGTATCCTTCATTCTGGTGCCTCAGAGATTGGTGTTAAAATTATCACTACAACAAGGGATTATTTTAAAAAATACTGCGTGGAGAGGCATGTAGGTAAGGATTTACTAGGGAAGGAGGGTCATACAAAAATGGATTGCCTCCTGCCACTGCCAAAGTATAAAAATGTGTCTTAAGCTTCAAGGTAAAACACTGAAATCCCAGAGTATTTGAAACTTCAGCAGTGTTTCAGGAGTATGATGCCATGTCCACTGAGTACCTGTCCTGGTAAGGCTGAGCTTCCTTTTCTTGCACAGAAATGTATTTTTTTAATCTCTAGTATCTTGCAGTTCTATCCCCTGGGGAAATCCAGGCCGAGCCCTACGCTCCTCCCCTGCTGCCCATGGAAGTGCACGTTGGGTCTTTATTGCCATCTAGTGACAGAAGGAGAAGTACAGAGACATTGCTTACAGGTGTTTTGCAAATCCATCAGTAATGTGCTTTGTTTTGGAGATTCTCTTAGTACTGAGACAGACTCCTGGCAGCTGGTACACCTGCACACAGGGTGCCAGAGCATGCTGCGGGGCTGCAGAATACTCCAGGCCATGGACACCTGGCTCGCTGCTCTCTTTTTCCAGGTGCTGTTATCTTTGACTCAGCTGGGACCTGACGTTATGAATTACTAAATGGTTCCGCGCCTGGGCTGGCCAGGCTGCTTCCAGCTCTCCTCCCGCCCGAGCCCGAGCCCGAGCCCGAGCCCGAGCCCGAGCCCGAGCAGCGGCCCCGCGTGGGGGATCCGCTGCCGGTGCCGCCCAGAGCCGCACGGTGCCATCCACAGACACACGGTGTCATCCAGAGCCGCACGGTGCCATCCAGAGACACACGGTGCCGCCCAGAGCCACACGGTGCCGCCCAGAGCCGCACGGTGCCATCCAGAGACACACGGTGCCATCCACAGACACACGGTGCCATCCAGAGACACACGGTGACACCCAGAGACACACGGTGCCGCCCAGAGCCACACGGTGCCATCCACGCCACAGCACCGAGCGCCCAATACCCCGAGGGCCTTGGCAGAGGAAACGCCTCTCTAACAGGCCAGGTTTTCCCACCCATCCAAACTGCAGGGCTGGAAGGCTAAGGCCCCGCCCTGTGATCTGAGGCAGTTTTGTGGCTCTTTTCAGGGACCGTAACCTTGGTCCTGGTGCTGCAGCACGAGGTGTGACCCCATGTGCTCTCATAATAACCTGTGACAGAGACAAAGACAGTGTGCAGTGCTCTTGGGATAACAGGGCTGGCGTGTGCACCGTCCCCTTACCTGCCTGTTCCTGCCCATTTGCTGTTCCGTGAGCATCCCCCTCTCACTGCACGTTTAACTTTCCCACCACTGGACTCTATCAGATAGTTTTCACTTGCATTTCATGAGACAAACACCCTCAGTTATCCCTGGATGTTTCTGCTATCTCCTGAGATGAAGGTGTTTGCGCTGATCCTGGGTTCAGTGGTTCACTGAAGTCATGGAAAGCCCCCAGACAGCCCTTCCCATGGCAAAGCTAAAACCATGCTGAGCACCTGCATGGGGAATTCACGGCACCTTCTTTAGGGCACAGGTGCAGCCGGAGCCTGGGCGGGGGGACACAGCTGAGGGCTGTGAGGCACTTCTGAGTGAGGGGACAGGCAGCTGAGGCACACCTGGACCAGGGGTTGTGATTGGCTGCGGGAATGCGGAGACAGCGTCTGAGCAGGACGCTGATTGGGCGATAGGAGCACGGACACAGCTGAGCCAGCCAATGGGTGCCCTTCTTCCGTTAAGTTCTGTTAGGCCTTGGTCTGGCTTCGGTTGTGTCTGGTAGAGATTGGAGCAGTATTGCGCTTTTTGCAGGAAACGGGCCTTCTTCGGACTCGTAAGGACGTCTGTGTCGCTTTGCTCCCCATTGCTACAGGGTCCCGGGCACTCAGGAGACAAGTAAGTATGGCCCTTTGCATGTAGGAAGCCAAGGCCAGTGTGTCACTTTCCATGTTTCTGAAGGGTTGGAAGTGGCAGCAGAATGTCGCAATAGTCACAGGTCAACAACATGTCAAAAGACTGAGCCTTTAAGAGCTTGAGGTGATGTGGAACGTGTGGCATTAGAGTCCCTGGGTCGATAGGAACATAGTCTCTTGTAGGAGAGCAAAAGATAATCATCTTTTCTTTTGTAGAGTTTGTCCAATGGCCTTGCTACTATCCAAGACACACCAGGTTCTGTGATCCTCATGGGCTCTTGCACCGCAACAGGCTCTTTCAGTCTTCTATTCTGTGAGAGATGGCCAGTTATCCTCAACAAAGAAATGAATGTTTTATCACTTAATTGCAAACATATTAAGGGAAAGACTCATCAGTCATGGAGGGAAATTGAGGTGGCTGCTGGGTTTGGCATTGTCCATGCACGGACTCCTCTCTCTGCCAGATACTGCAAAATCACCCACGGTGGTCTGAAAAGAGAACATGCAGAGGAGAGAAGGCTGTGAAAGAAACCTCTGCACAGCGAAGTAGCAAAAGAGCAGGAACTTGGGAATGTGAAATGCATACAAAATACTTTTGTTTCCTACTCAATGGCAAGCATACTCTTGCCATGTGATTCTTCCTCTGCTGCCTGACTTACAGGAGACCTAGAAAACACTAAGGAAAATCCTAGAAACTCTTGAAATCCCCCTTTTGTAGGAGTGAAGATCTCTTGCCAATTTTGGCACAACTTTCTCTTTCTTGACATTTTTCTCTTTATTCTGCTGGATATCCTTTCTTCAAAGAGCAGAGAGGGAAAAAACCCTGAAACTGAAAGGCTCTGTCACAGTAACTCCACCCTAAACAGGGGTTTAGCCAAAAAAATTTTTAAAGGAGAAACCGCAGCATTGCCGGACAAGTATTAGGGTTTGATTTTCAGTGACAGTTCCACACACAGATTAATTTGCTAATCCTTAGAGAAACTCTGGGATCTCAGGTTCCTTCTTTCCCATATAAGTTTGGCTTACATAAACTGGATTCAGCACGTAGCAGGATTCCTGCACCCCACCCCTGTCTGGCCTCTGTCCCCAGCATCCAGGCATGCTCCAGCCCAGGGGCAGAGAGACCCTATGGCACCCTGAGGAGGGAGGCATGGCATGAGAGGTCCCTCCAGGCTGCAGGACCTCAGGGCTGGCTTGTGGTGAGCAGGAGGGTAGGGGCATGCTGCTATCCCCTTCACCTCTTGAGGGATGGTCATGGTATACTACCATCAGCTCCCCAAAGCCACCTTGGCCTCCCTGGGGTAGAGCTGCTTCCCTTGGACAAAATCTGCCAGCTCATGGGAGGTGTCTTCCCTCCATCTCCACGCAGGAGAAACCCAGCATCAGGCCCCAGCCTCGCATCCCCAGGCACACGTGGGCTTCTCAGCTGTGCCCAGCAGATGCCCAGGCATCATTGGTTTTCCAGTGCCCTTGGAGTATTTCAGGGTATCCAAGTACATTCCAGGCAAAATCTCCAACCTTCATTAGCCTTTCCTCCCTGGGGATACTTTGCTGTGATTGGATGGACTGACAGCACAAAGGCCCCAGGAACAGCATGTCCTGTCTCCTGGACCTCAGCAATACATTTGTAAATAGGAAACTTCAGAAGATATATAAATTAGAGAGAAAAATGAACAGAACTTCATGTTTTCAAAGCCAAGAAGTTTCAAGACTTTCTGAAGGAAGGTCAAGCATTTGTGTACCTGCTGTTACAACTGATCCCTTATACCTGTATGATGCAAGTGTTGTCTCTGAGGATGCAGAAAATATTAACTAACCTTCTTAGTCTGTCAAGTAGGGGCACTAATATTAATTCTTTCACTTTGCCAGAGTATCAGAAAAAATCATTCACTAGTCTTTGCACAATCTATCATAATGTCATAGACAACAGCTGCCACAGATGTTTCTCAGAAATTGGTGTGGTTCATTTCCCATCCAAACAAGCCCCTTCTGTCCCCCATTCTTCTTCTCTGAGAAAAATGAAAGAAGAAGACAAAGGAAGTGCAGTAAGCCATTATTTAGATCTGGGAATAATGAATGTTTATCTGGATTTTGTAACACAAATTATGTAATGAAGCAGAGAAAAGGCTTTTGAACAAATATGTTAATGAGATGGTAGCTAAGGGAGAGGTTACAGAGCTGCCAATTCTGAATCAAATTTTGAACATGATTTTCTTTTGGATCTTCTTTCTTTTGTAGTCATTAGCCTGCAGAGCATTTGAATGGGCTTTAGGGCACAAACTATATGGGAATCATCAATTCTAGGTCAAGAAGGACTGATCAGCAACATACACTGACTGAGAAGACCCCACTGACTCAAAATTCATAATGAGGGCTTTTATGTAGAAAGTTGTTGGGCATGGGGATTGTGCCGAAAGGACTGTTCATTCAGAGTCTTTAGAGCTTTTCCTGGAAAAATATCAGATGCTGCCCTGGGAACTTAGTTGAAAGCTACTCCTGAAGCAGGACAGTGGACTGGCAGTAACTGGGAAGCACAGACTGGAGGGAAAATGGAGAGCAATGAAGGAGTGGTTTTCTCTGAATGCTGGTAATAACTCTTTCTATTTAAATTCTGTGTAAACCTTCCAGTGCATAGCATTACCATACAAGACCTCTTCTAGGCATCTTTTGAATGCAAGAATCATGTAGAGGTAAGTTCTGAGCTGGTTGTTTTTTAAATGTAATTTTCAAAAGCCCAATAAGAAAACATTCTTTTTCTACTACATACTACAATATCTCAGGGTCAGTTGTTTTAATTTGTGTTTCTCATTGCCAAGTATGATTCGACTTAACGGTCCTTGTTTAATTTTATTTTGTTAAAACTTTTGTATCGCTGGCTGTTGCATGGAGCTTGCAACATGAAAGAACTTTAAAAAAATGTGAAGAGCTTTTGTCTTGAAAGAGAGTAGCAGTTATCTAGGTCAAATGGAGTGTTTAGAACAAGCAAACTGTACTTGTGTGCTTGGGCAGCATTTGAGTTAGAGGCAGAAAATATGTCTATCTGTAATTAAATGAACCAGCTTCTGCCTGTAAATCCACCTTTTCATGGGCCATTCCTACCCTCCAATAACTGGAGTAACTGGGATGATTGCCTTGTAGAGAGTGCAATATATCAGAAAAGCAGCTTCTCATGAACAAAACTAAACTATAAAAAAGTATATATTTTACAGTTTTTCTACTTGGACTGACCCTGGAAATCCTACTTTCTAAGTGGGATTGTTTTTCAGTCCCTTTCTTTATGAAATAATAAAAGTCAGCCTTTCTTTAATAGTCTTCAGCAGTTCAGGTGCGGCTGTTCCTGCCACAACTGTTTCTTGCCCAGCCATAACTAGCCCAGTCCCTTGAGCTGGCTCTGGTGTTCACTGAACACTTCATTGAACCTATTCAGCTCATGAACAGCAGAAAAACATTCTGCTTTCTTTGTCAAGTTAAATTAAATGAACCCCAGTGCCACCAGCTGAGAAACATTGCAAAGGCCAGGGAAGGTTGGTGGCACTCAGCCACAGGATGGGCTTGGCTCTGTTACTCAAACCCTTGATTCTTCACATGCTTCAAAATACCTGGGTTTATTAGGACAGCAGAACAGCAAATGGGAGAAATGGCATCTTGCAACCAGGAAAAGTGGTTTCAAGTACGAGAGATCTGATTCAGCTCCTGGTTCCACCTCACATCACCACCCATGCCTAAGCCTATTTGTAACTCAAAAATTTGAGTTCCTTTGAAAACTGATTTGAAACTTACTACCAAGAAGAACAAGAACAGCACATTATTCAACACTAGGGTATCTAAGGATGCTACAGTCTTCTGCTTCTAAATTATGTCTGCAACTAAAACCGTGTTTTACCCACTGCTTCTAAAGCACTATTTAAAGCTATTGCTCTCTACTATGTTCAGAGCCATACTGACTAGAGGAAAGGATTCCTTTTTCTTGAAGGTGTGCAGTTTGTGCTCAATTACCATGAGCTGAATTTCAGGCTGTGGGATGTTTTTGTTTGACTGCTCTTTGGATCACCTAAAACTCCTCCTGGATGTTTTGCAGGTGCTTAGGCTCTCTGCAGCTCCCTTCTACCCAGCTATCAAACTGGCTCTGTAAAGCAAGTGGCCAAAACTTTGTCTGTCTTCTCCTTGGCACAGTGAAAATGAAGCTCATTATCAAATTATATGAAGGCAAGTTTGCAATAATTCCACACAATAAGGGAATATTGATTCCCTTTTCTTTATTGATAAAAAAAAAGGACTGAGGTGTGAATGAGTTAATTTCATTGCCCATGGAGTCCCTTGGGCATTAATAACCCATTAATAACTCTCCATTAATAACCCATATCTCATCTCCAGGTACAGCAAGCAAATCTTCTTTCACAAGATTAGTCCATCTAAATGGACTAATTGTGATATTTTTTGTCTTTCTCCTATTTTCATTTTTCTTCACTGCATCTTACTGAACAAGAAGACAACAAAGTATATTTGCACTGGTCTATCAGAGTTAGCTTTAGAACAACTCCTTTAGAGTGATCTATTTGCATTTTCTTATTTAAGTGCTTCTAGCCTTTTTTCCTTCTTTTTTTTTTTTTTTTTTTTTTTCCTTTTTTTTTTTTTTTTTTTTTTTTTTTTTTCTGACTAGGAACCATTTTTTCATTGGAGACAGGCCACAGGAATTCAAGTTTTGGCCAATTCCCCACTTTCTACTAGACTTTGCACTGGTGTGAAGTGTGTTTCCTCTATGTTGGTAAGTTACCCAGAGGGACTGCTCCGAAAGGTTTGAAGATTTGGAATCTGTCCAGATCCGGTTGGCTACTGTTTTTCTTAGTGGACATTCACTGCTTTTATAAATGAAAAGTAACATTGGAGTGTCTTGTTTTGAACTTCTGTCACTCAAGTTCCTCTGGTCAGCAGAGGACAAAGAGTGCAAGCTGTAGTCAGAGCTCCCTCATTACTTGCTGTGGAATCTGAAATTCTTTATTTCTGTGAGTAATTGCTTGGTAAGACTGTGCTAAGAGACTGCAGGATCAAATTGTTGAGATATTATTTATGCTGATTTCAATTTCAGGTGGCTGTTGTCATCCCAGAAGCAAAACCTAAAATATGAACAATTTGCTTGTCCTCTGTCTAGCTGTCCCTTTCTGCCCACTCAGTCACGCTGGCCACCATCAGTAGGGCCGTCCCTTTGGATTCCAAGGCTGCGCTGTAGACAAAGACACCGAAGTCAACAACATCAAAAATAACCTTTCAAGTTAACCTTCCTGGGTTATTTTTAACCCAGATCCAGAGGCACAATGCCTCTCAAAATAATAGCGAAACACAGCCATGCATGCCTACACAGACCTTTGTTTTGGGGAGATCCCCACTGTGGTTTTAACTCTCCATTTCCCTGGAGGAGCTCAGTCCATCCCCACCACGGTGTGAATGAGCGAGGGACGATCCTCCCTTGGCGTGACCAGCACCTCCCGAAGGGCCAGCTCCCGAAAGGGGCCGAGGCGGCGCCCCGGTGCCTGCACGCCATCAGTCTGTGCTTGCCGCACCGTCCCGTGGGCTCTGTCAGCAGGGAGAATGTTCCTACAACACTCTCCCGAGTGGAGTGGTAGCCGATAGACAGCCACTGAGCCGCTGTCCTCGGCACGGAGGTGGCCTTAAGGAGGGGGCACGGCACCGGCCCCGCGCCGTGTCCGGCGGGTCGGAGCGGGTCGGAGCGGGGCCAGGGCGCTCCGGGCGGCTCGGGGCGGCTCGGGGAGGCTCGGGGCGGCTCGGGGAGGCTCCGGGCGGCTCGGGGAGGCTCCGGGCGGCTCGGGGAGGCTCGGCGAGGCTCGCTCGCTGCCGTACTCAACCGCGCCGCTGCCCGGGGCGGCCCCCGGCCGGTCCCTCCCGTCCCGCCCGCCCCGTACTTAAAGCGGCGGCGGCGGGCGCTGCTCCCGCTCGCGCCCTGCCCGTGTCACCCCACAGAACATGGCCCCGACGTGCCTGCAGCCCCTGCTGAGGTGCCGCTCCCTCGCCATCCTCTTCCTCACGCCGCTGCTGCTGCTGCCGCTGCCGCTCGCTGTGCCCACGCGGGTAAGTGCCTGCGGGTCCCTGCGGGAGCAGCCCGGCTCCCGGCGGCTCCCGCACATCCAACCCACCGTGCCAATTTGATGCAATTCATTCTGGGCCAAGACAAACCCGTTTGGAATTGTCCTGCATTATGTCCTGGCGATTGGAGTGGGCTGAGGGGCAGGAGTCCGTCCACCAGCTTTCTGCTGAGGGTCTGGTAGTCCCTGCATGTTGCTTGGTGGCATTCTCCATCCCGATGCAGTCAGCGTTGTGTTGTATGAATTGGTCGGGATTTCAAATGCCATGTCCTCCAATTCATCTGTCTTACTCCAGGGATGGCGAATGCTGAACTCCTTTGTGTTCAGTGTAGTTACACCACCATAAAATTGGAATAACCCAGGGAACTTTGGGCTTTAACACCTTGTAGCCTTCTTGACCAAATGTGAAACCTCAGTTTGCAGTATTTTAGCCTACTGGAGCTTTGGTGGCTATTCTAATGCCAAAACCAGCCTTTCTTCTGAGCAACTTGTATCGCTCGGTCTGTTTTAAAGTACAGGAAAATTTTACCTGTTTATAAACCAAATTGTCAACCCATCTTGTTTACCTGTCTAAGTTATACCATTCCATTGAATGGTGGTGCTTTATATAATGAGGAATTCCTGATTGTTAAGCTCTACTTTGAGTAAAAGTAGGAAAGATAATTTCCAAAAAAATTTAAGTAGGTCTTCAGTTTGCCATTATTTGTAGGCATATTGTGCCATTAATCCAATCTAAGAAGTTACAATATTTCACTATGGGAAAGCAATATTTCTGTCAGTGACTTTTTTCATCGCTCAACCAGGAGGCAGGTTACTGTGTTTTGTGTCAACTGTACAGAAACACCAAAGAGACATTCTGTGACCATTTCCATAAATCACAGATATATATATAGGTATAAATACAAATATATATTTAATTCCAAGTCTTTGGTTGTTTGAATTGGCCACAGTTGTTGGAGTTAAATTATAAGCATGGTTGTATTTTTGAACTTTGCATAAATTATTTACTCTCTACTCTCTAAAACCAGTGTTTTGAATTTTATTCACTGACAGTTGTTTATCTGTCTTCTGTACTAGCAACAGATTAACCATAGTCAGTTCTATGCCTGCATTACTGTATTACTGCAGTACAGCATGAATTGTATCATGAGCTGACCTTATATTTATAAAAGGAAGAGACTTCAACAGGATCTGCCTGATATCTTCTAGTCTGAAGAATTCTTCTTTTCAAAACTTGTGCTGTAATTAATCTGGAAACTTGAGGGGAAAAAATTCATATTACTTACAAAAGGTGTTTTCTGCTTCTTAAACTTCTCAACAAAATTAATGAAAACACAGCCCTACTTACTAATATCACCTGATGTCAGTTTTTAGGTGCTACTCTCACACCATTTATTTTAGCAATAAAGTCACATTTGTTGTATTAGAGTAAAATCCTATAAACACATGCCCAAAATAGGGGCAAATAGTGAACTACAGAACAGCGACTTCAGCTTTCAAACAGTTCACTGTTAGCTAATGAATGCCTGCTTTTCCTGACAATTTTTAGAGTACAAACCACAGAAGGCTGGAATACAGAAATGCCTGGTCAACAGCCCAGAAATTCAGGTTACAACAATTCTAAACTAGGGAATCCCCTTAGCAGGTAGGGACAGTATGATTTGGGAAAGTAGTTTAATACCTCTAATGTGCTTAGTCACACACAAAAAAACCCCCAATAAAAACCACCCAACAAACAAACAAAAGACCACACACAAAAAAAACAACAACAACAAAAGGAGGTTTACTTTAGGAGTTACTTTAAAAAGTGAAGAACTTTTAAATTATTCAGTGAAATATTTTCTGAGCTCAACTGTGTTACTGGACATACATTGAAGACTTGTGAATTTCAGGCAAGCTAATCATCCACACTGGGAAATTTGGCCATCCATTTTAAAAAATTAACTCCATATTTCTGTTCTTGGCTCCTAGATGTAAAATCTGCTGACCTCAACCACCAAGAGGTACTTGCACATAGCAAACTACACTTACCTAGTGGCAGAAGATTTGTTTTTCTTACAGCATTTATTTTATGTGGATGTATTAAAGCAAGCACTATGGTCTTCTTGGTCAAAAATATCTTTTTATACAAGTGACTTCAGAACATGATTTAAAAGCACAATTTTAAGTCCTCATTCAGCATAACTTGTTAAGCTACAGACAGTGGAGTGTGTGAACCACTTTTAAGAGTCACCAATGTGTTTCTTATCTTTAAAAGCAGTTTCTAATGCTTAAATGTGTCTTCTATTATGTTGCAGGAGGCCAGATGTGCATATATCATCATCATCATGGCTGTGTACTGGTGCACTGAAGTGATGCCCCTGGCTGTCACCTCCCTCATGCCAGTGGTATTTTTCCCTCTGCTTGGAGTTCAGACCTCTAAAAAAGTAAGGAACTTGTGCAATCCAGGTCTGATACGGAGAAATCCAGTGCTCTGATCCCTCATCAATATTTAGCCAACAAGTCTGTATTAGTGTTCAGGGTTCTTATATGGGAAGATGCTGAACTACATACACATTTGCCCAAACTGTTAACAGTGGGGGGCTTGAGGTGGTAGAGGGGAGGGTCTGTTTTGGGCATGGATCCTGCTGGAGAGCATCCCACTAGTGCCAGCAGTTTGTGTGTTTCCAACCACAAAGACAAAGTAGAGCTGACAGTTTTCTGGGAGATCTTAAAATGCATGAGACAAACTTGTGAGAGGATAACTGACATGGTGCTGGCAGGTCTGCTGTGTCCTCCCCAGATCTCTGCCTGGGCTGTTTGTGCTGGAAGCACAAGGCAAAGGCTGTGTTCAGATTCTGTAGCCCAGGTTCACTACTGCCCAACAAGCTGGTAAAGGCAGGTGTGGTCGCTGATGGTGCTGAGAAAGCCCTTTTGGAGCTCAATATTTCCAGCGCCTTCCATACTTTGAACCCCCAGCTGCATTTTGGGAAACTGGTGTCATTCTGCACAACGATGCACAAAGAGCTCCTGCACAGGCAAGTCAGCGCAGGAGATCAAGGGTTCAGGAAACTGCAGGGAGCTCTCAGGCAGCAGCTGCCTCTTGTTCCAGTGTTGGTTGGGGCCTGAATTTGAGAGGGTGGTAGGCAAATTGTACTAGTGAAGCAAGTATTTTGGCCTGACTTACCTTCTTTATCTTTCAGGTGTGCTTGCAGTACCTAAATAACACAAACATGCTCTTCTTTGGAGGGCTGATTGTTGCAATTTCTGTTGAGCAGTGGAATCTTCACAAAAGGATTGCACTGAGGGTCCTTCTGATTCTTGGGGTGAAACCTGCACTGTAAGATATTACACTGTTTTTTTTCTTGTCACTTGTTAGTTTAGCGCAGGCCTAGGGATGATACTTAACAGTCCACAGAGAAAGGATCCTTCAAGAGCCAATTTAGCTGTACTTGCACAGAGTTTCCAGAAATGAAGTCTAGCAACAGGAGCAGTTAATTTGTACTTTATCCAAAACTAGCATCTGACTAAATTTTAGAAGCTCGCCATTGGGGACAAAATTATGACAGACTTAATTATGCCCTGGGATTCCTTCAGTGAATGTGGCAGAGCTACATGTGTCCTAGAAGGGAGTCTGGCCCTGCTCTGTACTAGTGACTGCACACATCCCTGCCTGGGCTTTATTCTCTAAATTACAGTGACTACAAAGCCTAGCAGCATCTGTTCACTTTCTTCCTCTCTCCTCTGTGTCTTTCTCTCTTTTCAGCCTGATGCTGGGATTTATGGCAGTCACTGCCTTCCTGTCAATGTGGATAAGCAACACGGCCACCACTGCCATGATGGTTCCCATTGTCCAGGCTGTCCTGGATCAATTGGACAGCACAGAGAATGATGTGACCATGGTGGAACAAGCATCTGGACAAACAAATACAGTGATTGAATTGGAGGAAAAGATCACATCAGAGTCCACTGCAGTGCATAGTAAGGGCCTGCTCACCAATAAGCTGATGCTACTGAACTTGCTAAACTCAGCTCCCCAGCCTAGGAGTGCTGTGTACCCTTTCCAAGGATAGAGGATGGTAACCTGACTGAAATCCTGTAAATACATGACAATTAGATGGCAATTAGGTTTTACAAAATAGCTTTCAATTTTGATGGCTGGCATTTTGTATGCTAGTGCTAGATCTCAGATGAGTTGTTTTGTTCTTTCCTCAGAGCTGGAGTAATCCAGTTTCCCTAGACTTAACCACCTGTTTAGGGAAGTGAAGAGCATATCCTGTGGGAAATAACCATCCAAACTCCCAGAATCCCACTTTCTAAATCTTGTGATTATCAGTGGGGATTCAGCTTCTAGGCCATGTAGGACTATTTGAAAAAATTATGTAAGCACAATCTATTTTTGTTCTAGGGTAATAAATATCTCTTTATTGACCAGATTGTATGTGGAGGTGGGGAGAAGAAAGAGGACTACCTTAAAAGCCACATGGAAAAGAGGAACTGGTGTAATTCGACTCACAGTAGAAAAACTGTTCTTGTGTATGATCTTACCCTGATGTTTGACTCCTAAAGGTCTTCTGCCACTCATGTGGTTCTACAATAGGTTTCACTTAATTTTACATATGTGCACAAAGTCAGACCTTCTCATTTCACTGCACTGCTGTGCTGTTACACAAGAATGTATTATTAAATATGATTAAAGATCAGATTCCAAGTACAGTGAAGAGAATAAGTGTGCAAAAAATACCCTTTGATATTGTTGAGTTGGTTGTAATTGCCATAAATTCTTTGTACTGCTCCATTACTCCAGTCAGACTTCAAGATTAGAGTGTTAACCTCAGAGAACAATGGACACAGCAGTAAAGTTTCGTGGTTATTGTAAATTGACATCATGCCAAGCAAGGATTTGGGTTTCAGTGGGTTTTTTTTTTTCCTGCCTGTTAAATCTGTTAAAGCTAGTTGGGTTCTCACTGTGGAATTGGAATGGTTCCAGATACTAAAATATTTGGCTGGTGGTAAGCCTCTCTGTGAAACAAGACATTACTGAAGAGGAGTTGTGGCACTGATGTGGGCAACAGCATCCTTGGATCATGTAAACCCAGTCCTTCAGTCTCTTTCTTCTGCTCCTCATGAACATTAGTCTGAAGTATTTAGGGAGATATCTGTGGGTTTTTAAATTAAAATAAATGGCACATGCAAACTGGAAGCACTAAGCCTACAGACTCTATCCTGAACTCTCTGCCTTTCCAACTTTACCTGAGGCAAATAATTTTCTTTCTGTCTAGTTGTTAGCAATGAACAAGTCACTGATGACCCCAAATCTTCTGAGGAAAAGAAAATGAGGAAGCGCATATGCAAGGGAATGACACTTTGTGTATGCTATGCTGCCAGCATTGGAGGAACTGCAACACTTACCGGAACAGGACCAAATGTGGTACTGAAAGGCCAGATGAATCAGTAAGTAATTTTTGCTGCTTCTTTTAGTTACCCTGTCATACTGTTTGTGTGACCAATTGACTGGTCTTAGATGACAATTTCACTTGTGAACTTCAAGCAATTAGTTGAGGAACTGAGACTGAGAAATGCATGAAGTGTTGGGGCTCTTTTTTTTTGCTTCAGCATCTTTTAAAAGGAAGCTATGTGATGGAATTAAGGTCTTCTGAGAAAATTGGAAATACTTGTTGGCAATCAACATGCAAGTGGCTGATTATGAGATACTGGTTCTTCTGTGTCCTCTTTTTCAACTGAAATGCAGCACATCAGAAGAGGAACTGCAGTAAAGAGCACCAGAATGTAGATTACTCATAAGCACACTGGAGAGAGCTAGAAGGAACTTGGCCCCTCCTGTAACACTGTTCCTCCATGCTGCGGCTGTGGAAACTGCAGTTGTGTTGTTCTGTCATTGCTAAACTGAGTTTGGGAACTGATCTACATGGAATCCAATCTTCAATGGAAATTTTTCCAACATTGCTTCCTTGTGTTGCAAGTACTTCAGCCTTAGCTGCTACATTATCTGTTGGTTTTAACACCCAGCTGGAAGTTTGCTATTGATATTTTTCCTCCTATCATTATTGGCAAGCACAGAGAATAACAAAAATTGCCTTTCTTAAAACCCTGTCTTCATTCATTCAAGCCAACTAGCAACCTTTTCATCTGTTGAAGGCAGCAGAAGTACAGGTATTAATTTCAGGAAAGACATTTCTTTCTGTCTTACTAGAATGAGTTGGGAGGAAGCAAAAAGTATCCTGTCTTGGGATAAATGAACAGGCATGTTAGAAGTGAAAGGTGTCTAGAATGTATGGGAGATCTTTCAGCCACACTTGTCTGACTGAGACCTAAGGTATCAACATAAGCTCCTATCCTGCATCAAAGTAAAACACAGAGAATACTCACAATCATTTAGGTTCTGCTCTGAAATCAGGCTGCCTTCCCCCATGATTTAAATCAGGCTGTGGATATGACCTGTGATTTCTTGTAATGCTTGTCCTAGATTTACATGCATAACTGTCACTAGCACATATTATAGGGAGACTGGATTACTAAATGTTTTGACATTCATACAGAAAATAATTTTTTTACAGGTTATACCCCAACAATAATGATGTTGTGAACTTTGCTTCCTGGTTTGGATTTGCATTCCCAAACATGGTCCTGATGTTGGTGCTAGCTTGGCTTTGGTTACAGTGCTCCTTCATGGGACTCAAGTGAGTATTTATCTACATGATATTGCGTAAAACCCTCAGTAAGTTAGTGCAGATCAGCTTACTGAGACATCTGGCTAAAACAAATGCACTGACAAGTTGCTAATTTTATAGCAGAGAGCAGATCTGTTTCACAGAAATTTTGAGGCCTGGAAACCTTTTGTGTTCATAGGAGGTATATTAAGGCAAAATCCCTATACATTCTTAACCTTTAGAGAGAATTGCTGGTTTATTTTTCAGTCTCTTGCCTGTGAATTTCAGCTCTGGCATAGCTGCTTTGCAGCCATTGATTCAAACCTGACTTTTTCATCCTGGGTTACTCCAAACTGACATCCTTTGCTAGACCACATTCTTCTTTGAGAACTAGTGTGTCCCCACAAAATACTTTGGCACTGTTGTAGTTTCTTTATTTATGGCCTCTGCTTTGGTCTGTGCCTGTCCCCAAGAGGGGCAACTTCAGAGTGATAAGGATGTTAGATCCCTCTAATATGTTTGTACTTACAGTATCTTTTTTCTCCATTTTTTTCAAAGTTTTAAAAAAAGCTGGGGCCTTGGGACAGAGAAAACTGACAAAGAAAAAGCTGCATACAGTGTGCTGAAGGCAGAAATGAAGAAGTTAGGCCCTATGTCTTATGCTGAATTAAATATCCTCCTCTTGTTTATATTGCTGGTGCTCTTGTGGTTTTCCAGAAACCCAGGCTTTGTAAAAGGCTGGGCTGCCAGGCTCTTCCCAGGAGGAGAAAAGTAAGTTTTTAGGGTTTTTTTTCCCATCTTTTACCCTCTTGGTTATTAATCAGATTCCCTTGCTCATACATTCCATTTTGAATGTGGGGTCATTAATTCCAACTTTACCTGACTTCACATGTTTGCTGGGCTTAATGCAATGGCTTGTACATGACACTACCAATCATCTATGATTTGACAGTTTGTACTGCAGTGAAAAAGCTGGAGACTGAGACATGGAGCAAGCTGAACTTCCTAAAAGAAGAGAAAATTCTGTAATGTTGGTCTCGGTCACACTGACATACACCTTGGCATTTTGTTTGTATGAGCTCCAATCAGTTGCAGTGACATTTGAATATTTGCTAATATTGCCTTTAACCAATACCTTAACTCACTGGAAAATTGATTTTTAGCTTTGAATGACTTCTTTGCATAGTATTTGTGCATGGCATGTTAGGAACATAAAATACATGTTGGGACTATGATTCAGGCCATTTCTTTAGATGTCTGTCTTTGAGATACAACTGCTGAATCTTGGCTTCAGCACAGAGAAGGAACCTTGCTCCAGGAGGGATGAGTTGTCATCCAGGACTCTATTTATTAATGTGTAGCTTGTTTCTTTTATTATTATAAATTATGGCAGGTCTGAGAGACTTCAGACATGATCTAATGACCCATTTTACTCAAGCCCCAAATGGGATGGCAAAGATCAGTGACTAGAATGCTGGAAGGCAGCCCTTTTCTAGGAAAAAGGTGACCATTTTCTAACCTGTATTCTCTTTTCTTCATTAGGTATATCTCTGATTCTGTTCCTGCTGTGTTTATTGCCCTGTTACTGTTTATCCTTCCTGCTCATAAGCCCAAGTGCAAAGCCTGGAATCCAAGCATGTCTGACCCTGAACAGACTGAAGAAGGTATTTAAAAGAGGGACTGTAGCACTGTGAAACATCTAACCCACTCAGCTAACAAGGCAGAAACATGCACAGGATTTGCATGCAGTTCTTTAGAGCATCTCACCTACCTCTCTTGTTGGACAGGCCTGGGGCACAGTCCATGTTCGTGCGTGTTACCCTCACCCTGTGCAGATTTCACAGTACTGTGCATCTGCCCACTGGTATCTTGCAGAACAGAAGACAAAATGTCTTTGCTCTCCTAAAACATGTTCTACTCTTTGCTCTCCTAAAACATGTTCTACTTTTCATTTCTCACTTCAGATAAAAAAAAGCCATTTTTATCAGCCCCGCTGCTAGACTGGAATGTGGTTCAAAGGAAGATGCCCTGGAGCATTGTGCTGCTGCTGGGAGGAGGTTTTGCTTTGGCAGATGCAAGCGCAGTATGTCCTAACATCTGTTTTTCTCTGACTCAAAGGCGAACTTTCCTGGTTTGTTACCTAGTCCTGTATTACTGGGCATGCACCCAAAGCCAAACCCAGTAGCAAAGTTCAGATCTGAAGGGACATCTAAATTAGCAAAAACCAAGGAGAGGTGAATGTTTGTGAGTCTTCTCCAGGAATTTTTGTTCTCTGACCAAGTTTCTTTAATTTATCTTACCTTTTGGAGACTCCCAAGTAAGTTGACATCTTCGCTGTCTGGACAGTCCAGAAAAGCATCCTTTCTTATTTCTGTAATCATCTCAATCCCAGCCCTGGCTAAAAAATTAGAAGTATAGATAGCACTTGTGAGATTTTCAAAACCATTTGAGGTTTTTTTGAAGCTTATATATCTTCAGACTTAAAGCAAAACCACTGCTGAAGTGGTTAGAAAGAAAATCCTGGGTTGATGCTGTGCTCATAAATTCACAGAAAAGGCAGCTAAATTCCCAGAACAGGAAGGAATCTTGAGGTGAACCATATTGTTTCTTTCATCACTGCTGAGATGCATCTAAATCAAAGTAAGCATTAGATATCAGTAGTGCCATACTTTGGCAGAAGTCATATTCACATCTAAGTTTTGTGGATTATTAGGTTTAAACCATGGGGCAAGTTAAAGCTCTGGGCCTGACATTCATCTACATACATCACACATAGATTATTAAAGCTTCAGAGCATTAAAAACAATCAAGTCAGAGATTTTGTAACCTGTTTGTATCAACTACTGCCTGTGTTCATACAGAATCATAAACTTCATAAACCTTAGAAAAATGTGCCAAGAAGCTTCTGGGCCATACATTAAGCATTTGCAATGGCCTCAGAGAAACTTTCTTGTTCAGCAAGAAAACCATAATTTTGTAAACTGTGTGTGAGCAAGTATTTGGTTTTCAGAAAAAATCAGAAAAGTGGGATTCAGTGTTATGTCTAGTTGGCAAGGAATTTTTTTTAATTTTTGTGACAGATAATTGTACTTTCCTGGATGGTGTTTGCATAATTCAGGACTCCTTTAGTATTATTTGACAGGAATGTTGCCCATAACATGGCTTCCCTGTTTGTGAGTCAGGGGTTCTAAACCTCACTTAAACCCACTTATTTTCTTGCAGAACTCTGGGCTCTCAGCTTGGATGGGTCGTCAGATGACTCCACTGGGATCTATCCCACCATGGGCCATTGCAACAGTGATCGCCCTTATTACAGCTGTCATCACTGAATGCACCAGTAACGTGGCCACAGCTACCCTCTTCCTGCCTATCTTTTCATCCTTGGTAAGATTGCTCCTGTCCTGCTACCCTGTCAGCTGGAGGATCAGAGTTAAACTGCGTGGCAAAGTAATACTATAATTATTGTCTTGGATGTTGCTCCAGTGTATTTAAAAAGAAGCCAGGTCACTCTTTCTGTAAGGTGTGTGCCTTGGCCCTGAAGAAAGTGAAGTGACAGTCACTTTTTCAATACATATCAGCAAACTTCTGGTCATTTTGAACTATTGGCTTAGAACTGGAAAAACACACACACACACACACACACAAAACCCAAACCAAAACAAAATCCAGCACTTTCTGATGATGCCTTTGAATTATTCATCTTGACATTTTGTGCTAAAATACTCAAAGTGGTAGACCTAATTACTAGAAATGTGTAATTTCTTATAGGAACCCAGAACAATTTTAAAACTTAGGAAAATCTGATAAGTTTTGCTGCATTTCCTGAGCAGAATCAAAACTGTGGCATAAAAAGAAAAATAGGTTACTTTGCTCTTTAATTAGAAAAGGACAAACACTTTATTTTAGACTATTTCATCAAAGCAAAATTACTCCAATCAAGGTACTGAGCTATTAATGACTTAAATTGGCACTTAAGTTTTGAGTGCCACAGAGTTTATGTATAGTCTAAGAATGTCACTCCACGTGCCTAGTAATTTTAATTCCCATTCTTGGAAAAAGGGTGGTCTGAGGTCAAAGAAAAGATTGTTGGATATATTTGACCAGAAATCTAAATTATACCATAGAGCAAAACAAACAACATGAAAGCATCAAGCTTGTTTTTAAATATCATTGGGAGGAAGCAACAGCAAGTTATCTATGAGCACATGTGGATTTCAGAATAAAAAGTTTGTGAATTATTTTGGTGATGTAATACAAGGAAACAAAATAAGCCTATGTATCTCATTGGTCTGGGGTAGATTGATCCTTTATGCTTTTCTTTTCAAACACCCCCATAGTGATATTCTCTCCATTTCATTGCAGGCTGAATCTATCAAGATCCACCCTTTGTATATTATGCTGCCTGCTACTCTCAGTGCTTCATTTGCCTTCATGCTACCTGTTGCAACACCACCAAATGCAATAGTGTTTTCTTATGGCCACATCCATGTTTTGGATATGGTAAGATAATTACCTTCTCTCTTATCTGAAATTCTCCATTGCTTTCTTCCTGAAATACGGTGGGAGGCTTTGGCAGACATACAGATTGGACCAAGTGAAATGAAAAACTGGTAAGTCATAAATCTCTGAAATCTGAAGGGTTAAAGTCCAGGCATGCCCTGCAGTGTTCTGGGGCTTTGGCAAGTGTCTAAAGCCTTGTCTCCACTGGAGCTGAAAGCAGAAGGTAGCAATCAGTAGCCCTTGGCTCTGGTCCTCTGATTTTCTGCCAGACCACACAGGGCAGGTTCTGGGTGGAATACACAAACATTACTGGTTTTCTAACTGGGTACTTGAAGAGGGCATAAGCTCTTCTCTAACTAATAAGAATGACTTGTTACACAGGCCTTAAAGCTCCTTGCCTGGTTGTATACATAGCAAACCATTCAAAGACTTGGCACAGTGTGTTCCCTAGTATCTCCACCTAAACAAGAACAGAAGGCAGTGGATACAATGGCTATTTCTGTGATTTGTTTGACCATCTTTCTTGTGTATGTACAAGTAGGTCTTGCTGCAGTTTGCTGTGCTGGTGTTTGGGTGTTGCTGGTTTGGACTTGATGTGCTGGTGTTTGGTTATTGTTGTTGGTTTGGATTTTTTTCCTCACAGGTTAAAGCTGGAATAGTGATGAACATGATTGCAGTCTGCTGTGTCACACTGGCCATCAACACATGGGGAAGACCTATGTTTGAGCTGGACACATTCCCAGCTTGGGCAAACAGCACAAGAAACCAGTGACCTGTGAAGAATTTGTGTGTTGAACAAGGAAAGTACCCTTAGTACTCCCTGTTTCCTAAAGTCCTGTATAAAGTCTCATCACCACTTCAGATCCACTGTTGGGTGTTTGCTGCCTTCCAGCAATCACACATCAGTTCAGATTTGAACCAACCCAATCTTACTCCAGTTGTGCTGGAGCCAAAAACATTTGCAATTATACAACCTCTGTGTCAGAATCTTAAGTACATTTGAGTGATCTGTTGTGCCTCCAATCAAGGTCAAGAATTAGGATTTATCAAACTTTCAATAAAGAGAGGGGAGGTTGTTTTATCAAATGGTTTGAACTATTATATCACTGGTATGTACTTGTAGATCATTAGCATTGAATATTGCACTCAGGCAGCTGTGGAACATTCCTTACCTATTCCTTATATCTACAAGTCAGCAACTATACAGAGAAATCCCTGTTGTCACTTGTCTAGTGAAGGAAGAGTACATGATGTTATGCTATGTTATACTTTCATTGGGCCTCAGCCGTGTGGTGGCATCCTTCCAAGTCAACATCCAACAGACTTTCTCTTGCCTTGTTTTCACTCCCGAGTCTCACTGCATTCAGACACCCTTATTGAGGGTTGAGATAACCTAACTTCATGATGGTCATGATTCAGCTAGCATCTCAGACAATGATGCACTAAGGCTGGCACTGTGGCAATTAGAGGGCAGGGAGCCTTTGCCTCAGTCAAGGTGTGATTTCACATGCCAGCTGGTGTTTTCCGAGTGCCAGCCTGGAGATGACCAGTGACCCATGGGACTTCACATCTATTGCAGAAGTTCCTGAATTAGCCCCTGATGTGCCTTATTAATTAACTCTGGAATTTTTGAGTGAAGTTAAGACATGAGGAAGGCTCTAACTGATGATCTGGGGAAAATGTAGGGGCCCAGATTTTAGTGCTTTTGCTGGCTGACAGCAGTGGGAGTTGTCTTGTGTACTTTGGAATTCATGTCTTGTGAGAAAAGTAGTTTGTAACCTAATGATGCTATTTCTGTTGCAGAAGTAGTCTACAGAATACTTGGTGTTGGGCTGGGTGTATTTTGTCAGTGGTACATGAATACTTTTCCTTTAGTGCTGGGGATAGAGGTGGGTGGGAGGTAAAGCAGTGTTTTACAGTAGGGAAATCTGTGGGTATGACCTGGGATTTGCTTCCAGACCTGCCATGTATCCCCATGCAAGTCAGTTCACCTTTTTGTGCTTATTTCCCCTCCTAAAGATGATGTTATGGAACCTATCTACCTCACCAAGGTGTTGTGAGGACATAAGGGTCAAATTCTGCAGCCATAGTGATTTCCCACCTCATGATAATGGGTGCAAGGTGTTAAGTTATAGAATCATAGAATTCTGTGTAGAAGATGTGGCATATAGCATAGCATTGTGTTTAGGATATTTAGTAGTTCTGTTATTAATGTGAATTTTCTTTATGGAAATACATTTTTATCTAGAAGTGAGGAAAATATTTATCCACAAAATGACCAGGTGCTTTTTTGAGCAGAAAACTGCTTTAAGAATTGATTTTTGTGCCTTTATCTTTTATGCTCTTTCACGGTGCTAAGCACCATGAACTGTCCACCGAATGTTTTTCCCAAGGGCCACCAGTGGCTCCCTGTCTTCCCAGCTGGCTGCCTCTGGTGCAGCCTCACACTTCTTCCAGGAATGGTGGAGCATATGGATATACACACTTCCACTTGCAGAGTCTATCTAAGGAGGAGACCAGTTCTAGTGCCAGGAATTGGCAGATGAGATATTGCTTACAGATATTTGTCACCACCTGAAACTTATCACAGTATTTTTTTGAACAAAGTGAAACCAGGAACAGTTGAGCACGTTCTGTCCTTCGCAGTCACCACTTAATGCTGATTTGTATCTCTAGGTATCAAAAGGCATTTGAGAAAGAGATTTTCTCTGCTTTCTGATGGACTTCACAGTGTGAGAACATGTTATTTTTGCCAGTACATGGTGCTTGCTCTGCTCTGCCTGCCAAGATACAGGGGAGCTCGCATGGGTAGATGATACTGAGCTTGGCTATCTCAGTTCATGTAGACCAAAACTCCTCTAAAACCAGTTCCAGCTACAAGCTGTAGGACAGACAGTTCACTGTCCTGTTTGCAGAAAGGAATGTTCTGAAAGTTTATTGGAGGGGAGAGATTGCCCTCACCTCAGCTAGTGAAGAGCTTCACTCTGTTGCTGGACAAAAAGGAAGCAAATACTATTTTCATCAATAGTCACACAGGGTGATTCATGGTCAGGAGTGCTGGGCCTGGGAAGTGTGCATGTGGGGTAATAAAGAGTGTTTATTGTAACTGTGAAGTATTGGATGTGTCACCTCTCTGTACTGTTGATAGCAGTTTCTTTTTGAGAGACTTCTATGATATCCAGATTGATTAATATTTAATTTAAATGGGTGGGTTGCATAATTAGAGCCTGGCAAATAAAAACTATCTAGAACTGTCTCCCCTCCTGTGTAATATAGTGGACCACTTGTTTCTGCATTAGCTTCCACTGTAGCACACTGTTGCCCCAGTAAGAACCAGGAAGGTACATGCTGTAGTGAATAATACAAATCAGAGATTTGGACACCACTTTTAAGTGTCTTCAGATCTGAATATCAGTGGTTTCTCTTCTTTCAACAGCTAAGTGATAACTCAAGTTTGCATCTCTGAAGATATTCAGGTGGGACCAAATCAGGTGGCATACCCTACAAACTGTCTCATTCATTTCAGAGTAAAGTATTATAAGAATCTAAGAAACACAATCAGTTTTTAAGAATTAATGCTGTACAAACTTTCCAATATAACAGGCAGAAATGGGCTTTTCTTAAGCAACAAGCATGCATGGTGTCCTGTTCCAGTGCCCTGAGTAAATACATGTTGCTTGGAGTGGACAATGTTAGGACAATTGCTTTGTGACTAGATCTGGTTTACAGCCCCTTCAGCTGCAGACAAGTATCATAGAAACTTACCGGACATGGCATTTATTTTATTGCTCATCAAAGGAATATTGTTTTAGATGCAGAAGTTGTGATGGTCCTAAGGTAGTGGCATAAAATAATCTGTTTGCCCCTCACTTTAAAGCACGCACCCCCAGCACCCACAGAAAACATGGGAGTATCCTCAGTGTGGGCTTTGTCAGGGCAGGTTATTCAGCCACCCTGAGTGAGCAAACTATTCCCATTTTACCATATGAGGGCAGAGTGTGATTCCTTGTGGTCAGTGAGTCTGTCAGCTGGCCAGCTGGCAGCACAGCTAGCAGTGCCACCTCTAAGGCCTCTAAGGAGCTAAATTAATGCTTTCTTATTTTCTGCCCTCTTTCTATGGAACCTTGGCTTTTCCTTTCTTCTCTCAAAATACCAATTTACCAAAATATCAAGTTGCTAATGCTGTTTCTGCAAATACTGAGTGTCCCAAACCTGCAGCATTGTGATCTGGGCTGCACAGGGTTGCACAGGGTTCCTGACTGATCATGTACTAGTGTGCAAACTTGTTCCCACAGTGTACTAGTGCTTGGGAATGGTCTCACAACTGTGAATGAGTTAATGAATTACCAAACTACAAGAAAACATACAAAGAGATAACAAAGGTATTTCCTGCCCACACGTTGAACATCTAGATCTGTGAAATAGAGAAGAAAAACCTTTCAGCATTCTCTACATGATTAGAACTTGTCCCCAAGATGAAGAGTGGTCAGATTTGTTGGTGTCATCCACTGAGTTCAGAGCAGCAAGTAGTGCATTCCAGTTGAGTTCTGATCTCATTTGAACTCAGTGTTTGGCTTATTCAGCCTCTGTTTTCCAGCTCAGGTGTGTTGCCACTTGAAATAGCAATAACCTGGTTGTAGCCAAACCCAACATTTGCTGACAAAGTTGGAATTGGACAGTTGGTGAAAATCAGCCCAGAAAAAGAATTAGATCACTGCATCAATCCTAGCCAAAATGCAGGAGTGGTTCCTCTTCCTTTCTACTAGTGACATATTGTATACATTTTTACATACTTCACATCTTTTTTTTTTTTCCCCTGTCTGTGCTAAATATGTGAAGAAGTGGGTGGTAATGAATCCTGAGCCCTTGGATCAAGTGACAGAGTTTTCACAATGTTTTCCAGTGTGGGTGAATAAAAGTGTGATTTTAGACAAGTCTGATCAATCTCTTTGTGCTATTGAGAGGTTTTCAACACTTCTTGCACCACAAGGCCACCAGTCTCCTGCAAGACAGGCTCAGCATTTGCCTGCATGGTTTAGTGGCAGGGTGCTGATTCTCCTGTGCCCAGAAGAACCGTATCAGTGGCAGCTCCTCAGTGGCAGATCAGACCTTCCCCTTTGTGTATCTGTACCTGTCCCTGAGTGAAGGGTCTGTGACACAGAGAGGGCTTGCCATGCACTGCAGACTGCCTCTGCTTGGCACAGAAATTCTGAGGGAAGTACAGCCCTTACCACTGGGAGCACAGAGTAAAGGTAGGCATACCATGGTGCCCTGAGGTGATTTGGGACTGCTAAATACAATGTTTGGTAGTTATTTAAAAATAGAGATGACTATACTGAAGCTATTTTCCCCCCATTTTTTCTAGAGCATTTAGTCAATAGCTGCCCATTTATTATGGTGTAAATGTAGATTTACATTTACTGTGGATGCTGGCCATAAGAAAGAGGCTGTTTCTTCTGTCAGAGAAAAGATGTTATCCTTTCCCAGTTTACTTCAGTGCTTTATTTACCCACACAAAATAATTTCCCAGACTTATTTGGCACATGGCACTTCAATGAGTTTTCATAAGCTGTTTCAGTGAGTGTGAGCCTCATTACAGTGTTCATAAAACTTTTTTTACAGACAAACCATTTTCCTGAAAAAACTTTATGTTCCATATACTAAATCTAATTTATTGTTGTTTCCTTTGTGAGCTTTTCTTTGAGAACAATAACTTGGGTTGGGTCTTAGCAAATATTTTAGAAAGCCAGCTGAAGATCAAATTTCCACCAGAAACAAAGTTAACACAACCTTTCAACTAAGAAATTATTATTCTGGAGGAAATTTCTATTTTACTTCAGTATTTTGCCTTGGCTATATGGTCAGAAATCAGAAACATAGGAATGTATATTACTCCCGGCAAATGGCTGATTTCAAATTCTCCTGCTGTCCAGGTGTCTTAATAGAAGCCCTCACATATTTTTAACCAACTCATTATGGAAAAACATAAAATGCTTTCTGACACATGACATTTAATCTTTAATTTATCTTTAAATTCTAGTGTTTGTCTGAAGCTGGAGGAGTACCACAGTCACAGAAGTATATGTGCCAGTGCCTTCAATACACCAGTCTTTTTACACTATTTCATCCAGTTTGCAGCTTGCCTGAACGGTATTTAGCATCTGTGGATGAAGTGGTTGCACACGACTGTTATTGGCCTTCTGAAATGCACATTACCTGCCAGTTTCTTGACCTCAAAAAAGTGAACTTAGTGAAGAGTTAAGCCTTTAATTAAATATGTTCTGACAATTGTTTTAGTCACTGAAAACTATGATTTTCTTTCTATTGAATTACAATTATAGCATTGGAGTAAAAAAATTGCAGACTTTGTGCTGTCTTGTTATATATATAACATAATGCATACTCTGCTCTCTGTTATTTAACCATATTTGAAGCAGGATGCTCTCCATCTACAGAAGCTGTCTTGCATTCTGTGGGTAAAATCCTGTCAGATGTCCATGTTAGTATCAGTTTGCATTCTATTCCAAAGCAATGGGTAAATGGGAGTGAACAAGAGGGGATGTCTTGGGTTTCATGCACCGGTGTAAAACATTTCCCTATTTCATCTCACTTGATCAGTTCTCAGTGATGAAATTGATGGAGCTTTTTTCTCTCTGGTGCAGATGCACTGCACAGTGGTGTCACAGAGGAATCTTTTGCAGCATTTCTCTTCCTCAGCGTTTACCTTCAAGATTCAACAGCATGCCAAATGAGACTTTATTTTCTCTTGTGTCTCATAAAACCGTGGTGGCTTCAGGTCCCAGAAGTGGCTCAATTTAAGAGCTGTGTCTCTATGCCAGCTCTAATGAGTTAAGATAAACTTACTGTCCTAAACCATCACATTTCTGGGCAGGCAACAGCAGTGACAGCAGTCTAGTCTATGAAAGGAGAAACTGAGGCAGCAATGTCATCCTTGTTCTATGACAATAAGACAAATTTCTGGCTCACAGTTATATTAACACATGTCCTGCAAGTTTGGCTCACCTGACATTTAAAAACAAAACAAAACTAAACAAACAAAAAAAACCCCAAACATTTCTTCAAGAATGTTCTCCTATATAAAATATTTAAACTATAAAATCTCCTATACTAAAATCCTGATTTTCAATTTTATTCCTAATTTTGATGGACAAGAATTGAGATGTTTAACTTAACTTGGGCAAACCTACATTGTAATTTATTTTTGTGACCAATCCTTTTTTAGGATTCTCTCCTCTGAAGTCACTCTTGGGAAAGAAATCCTGTTCTAGAATAGCAATGCAGACACGTGGGATCTCTTTGATCTCTTCTTTTAGATCAAAGTCTGTGTTTACTGGGGAGTGACTTGTTATGTTTTAATATAGTAATAGTAGTATTCCACAACCACTAAAATGTTGCCTAAGAAAGCAACTCTTTTTTATTAAGAAAAAAACTATGCATGAATCCTTTTTATATGGTTTTTGTAATGCAATTCCCAGGGGAAAATTCATACTGCATAGGAAAATATAGTATTATAGAAAATTGCTATGTTGGATGCCAAAAATACTTCAACAAATTAAAATTGAAAATAATTAAAACAACAAAAAAAGGAAAAATTAGAAGGATTTCAGGTAAGCCTGTAGAGATTGCTTCCACTGCTGCTGCTCACTCAAGGAGCATTTGCTTGTTAATGGTTTTATTCTGAGACAACTGTGTTTTAATTAATGAAGAATTAAGCGTAGAGGTTGACAGAAATCTCTTTGGCTGACTGTAAAGTCACTACGAAAAACAAACAAACAAAAAAGCCCTGCAAAGTTCCCAACTTTGTCCAATATCCAGTATTTACCATTAAACTTTAAATACAGTTTAGTGTTTTAGTTGATTCTAAAAGTTGATTCTCTCCACTTCCTTTTGCTCTGGAAGGGATGAACAGTGGCTTTGTGTAGTACAAAGCTAAAATGAATGTTCTGCAAATACAAACAAAACTTCATCCTCTTTTTATCCTTCGCAGCTCAAGGGGTATCTGGGGAAAGAACATGCCTGGAACAGTGACCGCAAAGCCACACTCGCTGGCTCTGGGACTGACTGGGCCCTGCGGCACACGGACGAAACTCTGCCCGCGTTCATGTTCGGGAAGAGCCGTGGAGCTGGAGTCCCAGGAATGGCACTCTGGACTCGCACTGGGTCCCCTGGCACAAGCAGCGCGGGTGGCACTGGGCCTTTTCCCTCAGGCGGGGAAATTCCGCAGGACCGGTGGCTGCGGCACACAGCGGCGCCGCCGCGCCCCGTCATGGCCCCGCCCCGCCCGCCATGGCCCCGCCCCGCCCCGGCCCGGCCCCGCCCCTCCCGGTCATAGCCCCGCCCCTCCCGCCATTTCCCCGCCCCCGACGCGCCACGCCCCCGCCATGGCCCCGCCCCCACCGTTGCTAGGCAACGGCCGCTGCGTTCCCAGCGTGCCTAGCGTTGCATTTCGCCGGGCCGTAGGTAGGGGGCGCGCTCGCCGCTGTCGGGTGTGCGCGCCCGGACATGGACGCAGGTGCGGGAGCGGGCAGAGCCGGAGCGGGGCCGGGAGCGGAGCCGGGAGCGGAGCCGGGAGCGGAGCCGGGAGCGTGCGGAGCCGGAGCGGGGCCGGGAGCGGGGCCGGGAGCGGAGCCGGGAGCGTGCGGAGCCGGGAGCGGGGCCGGGAGCGGAGCCGGGAGCGTGCGGGGCCGGGAGCGTGCGGGGCCGGGAGCGGAGCCGGGAGCGGGGCCGGGAGCGGGGCCGGGAGCGGAGCCGGGGAGGAGCCCGGGAGGAGCCCCGTGGGGCCGCTGTCGCCGCCGCTCGGAGCCGGCAGGCCCCCGGAGCGCCGGGCGTGCCGGGCCGGCGCAGGCCGAGCGGGGCGCCGCACGGCTGCCCTCGGAGCCCGCAGCCCAGGGCCTGTCCCGGGTGCGCCCTGGCCGCGCCGGCCCCGCGCACCGCGCCGTTCGCTGCCGCCGGCCGTGGCCCTCACCCGCCCCAGCCCGCTTTGGTCCCGGTACAGACTGCGAATGCTTTCAGTCTGTGTGGGTCCAATTCTTACTGGTTTTGTCTTGAATCAGATGATACAGGAAATCGACTTCGATTCCAGTTGGAGCTGGAGTTTGTTCAATGTCTGGCAAATCCAAATTACCTCAACTGTGAGTACTTAAAGTAAATACCACAACCTGGAAGAGTTAATATAGTGCAATGCTGTTTATTGTTACCGGTAATGTTGAATATGGAGAGAGGGCTAAACAAAGAAAAGGGTTTTCACAGCATGAAACTAACCTGTAAATTATTTGTTTAACAGGTGGATTTTTTTTTAAAATGCAAAGTCTTTTGTTAGTTGGAATGCAAGAAAAAAAAAAAAGGCATTTATTTGATGGAGGAAGAAAATAACAAGTTCCAGTCTGTTATTAAAAAGTAATGTCAAGTTAACAGCATTCCTTTATCTGAAAACAGAATTTTACTAATGTGAATAGTTTTAGGTACTGTGCATAACTCTGTTAATTTTGATGCTACTGTCAAAGTTTTCTTGTTTCAAAAAGCTGTTCCATTCAATGAAAGATACAAACTATAAGGGAGATGAGGCCAATCTATTATTTTCTTGACATAAAAATCTTATTTTGCCCTGTGGTTTTTTAATTTGCCAAATATAAATTATTGAAATTTGATTGTAATGAGAAAGCTTTGACTTTGTGATTTTTTTTCAAGTAGGCTGATATTTTGCACCCATCTGTAACTGTCAATTCCTTGTCATTTCAGTTCTTGCACAAAGAGGCTACTTCAAAGATAAAGCGTTTGTAAATTATCTTAAATATTTACTTTATTGGAAAGAACCTGAATATGCAAAATACCTGAAGTAAGTACTAAATTCCCTTAAGTTTCTGCATTTTAATGGTTTGCCATTGACCTCATTTTGAACACTGTACAGCAGCATGATAGGATTTCATTTCTGCCTGTAGCATTACTTTTGTCCTTCCTGCAACATAGATTATGCATATGGTTATATGCAATGTAGATTCCCCTGTTTCCAATAGTCCACATGTAGCAGCAATAGGCAAAATTATAAAAATTTCATGAGTTTTGCATAGAATCTTCCTTTAAAGCCTTAATCTGCACTTTCGATTGGTTTAAAATCAAACTATTGAACATTAGGGCAAAAAAGCAGTAAGTGCATTTTAAGATCAATTGTGCATTATTGATGCTTGCATGAGACAAAAGATGATTTTTGTGTTTTTGCAAGTGTGCTAATGCCTTCTGTTTTTGGGAAAATGGTTTTGGTCATCTTTAATTGGGCTCTGGAAAGAGGCCTTGTAAAGCCTGTTGGATGGATGGATAGATTTGGTCTATCAAACCAAGCCATTGGGGAAGCTACTGTAAGTAAGCAGGAATGTGCATTTATTACTGGAATTGGTTGTCTTGTTTCCTGGCCTGATGCTGCAGTTACCAAGTCACAGTGTTCATGCTGAAGTCGTTTCACACTTGGGTAAAGCACATATGAGTCAAAACTAACGACCCACAGAAGTACTGGAGACTCTAGATTTAGTGTCCCTTGTAAAAACCTGTATTAAAGTGTGGTTATTTTTAACCCAGGTATCCTCAATGTCTGCATATGCTAGAGCTGCTTCAGTATGAACATTTCCGCAAAGAGCTGGTCAATGCTCAGTGTGCCAAATTTATTGATGAGCAACAGATCCTCCACTGGCAGCACTATTCCCGGAAAAGGATGCGCCTCCAGCAGGCACTGGCTGAGCAGCAGCAACAAAACAACACCTCTGTAAAATGAAAAGCACACAGAGTAGTGATGATAAGGTGTACTTTGTGTTAGTGAAGTATTTACAGGAGGTGAATGAACCCTTGTGCAAGTTTGGCTCTGGCTCTGTGCCTTTTATTTGAATTTATCAAATGACTAGGGTTGTTTTTGTTTCATCAACTCCTTTAAAAACTAATAAACACCTGCAATTTATTTTACAGCATGGACAATTTTGTAAGAGCTTTACTACAATAGTTATTGATTCCTCTTGATTTTGAAAACAAAATCTAGATTTGTCACTTACCAACTCTCTACAAAGAAGTGTAGCTCTAAAGGCTGTTCCTAGGAAACCTTTTCCCTGGAGAATAATGATGTATCTTAAGAGAACTCCCTGCTACTTACAGCTCTGGGACAAGCAAAGGTGAAGTGATGATAGACAAAGTCAAAACTGTGCAGTTTTTCCTTGAAACCAAGCTGAGCTATTACATGTCACTTCTGTTACCCTGGCAGTCATTGTTGATGGAAGTTTGTTTTCCTTACAGCACATTGTACGGATAGAAATCAGGAGTGTACAGGGTGAGGTCTGGGGAGTGGAGCAGAGATAAATGCTGATAAATTCTGCAGGATAGAGAAGGAAACAAGCTGTAGCTGTCTCTGTTCTATTAAACTCAGCTTCCTTGCATCTTGGCCTCTGCCTGTAAAGCAGTGGCTGCTCTGAAGTCTCTTTACACTCCATGTAACAAGAACAGGGTCTGTGGGGAAACGTGCCATTGCTTGGAGTGTTGGAGAAGCACTTGCCATTTATTCCTGTATAGATTTTTATTCTAAGAACATAGCTCTTGGCAGCTGCCAAGGTTTTAATTTTCATATTTTTAGACTGTATTTCTGGTGCATTCATGTTGTGTCCTTGTAGGAGCAGGTACTGCAGCTGTCAGCCACCACATTATCACACTTGCACTGAACAGATAAGCTATTAAACATCTTTGGCATTGAAAATTTATCTTAACAGTTTCAGTAATTATGTGGTAAGGCTTAGGAAGGAGGTCTTTATGTTTCTCCCCTTCCTCCTTACTCACTGTAACTTTGCAGTTACACTTCAGTAAGTGCAGGCTAATCTGAGTTTCTAACATGAGCTCAGCTCCTTCGAAAAGAGGTTGTTCACAAACTCAAGTTTATTTGGACATGAAAGGAAAAATACAGTTTTTCTAGTAAGATTTTAGTGTAACGTTTGGATCCAGAATTTCAGGACATTTATCTTGACTAGTCCAAAATAATTAATCATTGGAGTTTTAACAAAGGTCATTGATTTCTTGAAAGGACAGTGCAGTAATTGAGACTACTATCTTCATCAATGATTGACGAGTGAGGGCTTTAGTCTTCGGTAAACAACATACGCACAAGCTCTGCTTTAAAACATTCTTCTTCAACCAGCTTCTGAGGCTGAAAGAAAAGTTCATCATTGAAAAGCTAGCTGAGAGCCATTTGTACATAGTAACATTAACTACATCCATCAAGGTTGTCCTGGGGAGTGAGGTAGTGGGGGTGGAACAAGAAAGGTAACTATAACTGAAACATTCCTGAGGGTTTTCTGGCCTTGGAAGAGGCGTTTCTAAGAAAGTAACTGTTAATTTAACTGACATGTACAAGTTACAACTTGAGCTGCTGAGTCTCACTCCCGTAGTTCAGTGCTTGGATTTTTCAAAAGGAGCTGAGGAGCTGCGAATTGGGAACAGTAACAACATGTAGCTAAGTTTCTCAACCCGTCAAGCACTAAGAGCCAAGTGCACGTGTTCCCTTCACTGCAAGTTTATTACAGACATTACACAACAAGCAGAATGGTTCTTTCTTGAGGAACTGTTTGAGTGAGGAACAGGGACCAGAGGAGCTGTTTAGAATGTTATGGTCTCCTTAAACAAGAGAGGGTTCTCAGAGAATACAAGTGACTAATTCATTTACAGCCCTAAATTCCTGCCAGGTCCCCATCTCAGTGCTTGTAGATCCGGAACATAAATCACTTACTGTTCCATACTTAAGTAGTGTAGGCACTCCTGTTAGTTTCAGATTCATCCTGAATTCATTGTTGGGATCCTTCCAGCTGTTCAGAAAGAAGG